GATTTTTGTCAAGAAATACGATTAAATGTTTTCTCCTTTGAATAAAAAATAATTTAAATTGCCTTTTATGTTCGCGACCGTAGAAAATGGCTTTTTAAAAAAAGGAACCCATTCTGTATTGTATGCCATTGTTTGTTTCTAAGGAGCAGAATAAATGGAGCAATTTGTGTTTCAAGCGCTGTGTGTTTATGACACCTCATTCGAGATAATCTCCACAATGGAACATTTCTTGGTCAATTTTATATAAAATTGTTTTGTTTTTATTTAAAGTATTATTTTATAAAACAAGAATTTGAGAAGATATAAAGAAACTTAATATAAAGCAATACCGCGCCATCTATATATAAAAAATGAAAACATCGAGACGCGAATGTTCTTTCACACATAAATCAAATTTCTACTGTCCTTACTGCGATGAAAAATATTGGGAGGGCTTGGTTCATCAGTGGTGATCCCTCCCAGCGGTTTCGCCAATTTTTAATCTACCAGACCGCTTCTTTAGAGCTCTAATACTGTATTGGGCCTTTCTGCTTCTATATGCTACACTGAAGGGTGGAATCTCAGAACCATTTCTAGGATTCCACCCTTCGGTGTTGCATATATAAGCAGAATGGGTCAATACAGTATCAGAGCTCTAAAGAAGCGGTCTGGTAGATTAAATTGGCGAAACCGCTAGGAGGGGGTCACGACTGATGAGTAAAGCCCTCCCAATATTTTTTCATCGCAGTAAGGACAGCGCCTTGCCTGCATCGTCTTCGGCTCCAGCGACCTGCAGCTGGCCCACCGCTACTGGTCTTGCAGCGCCGTCCGACCTCTCATCTGAGAGGTGTTCTCCATCATCGGGACCTGCAGTCCTGGATCTTCGCGGTGGGGCTCGAGGACTACGCCATCTCCTCAGCGACGAAGCACGAGATCTACGTTTTCTTCGTAGATCGTAAAATGTATAGCGTAGCTGAAGACCCCATGACGAATTTTTTGTTCAAACTCTGCAGCGGTGGCAGAGGCGCCACGGTACATATTCCCGGTACATAGCGTATAAATCTAATTATTTTGAATATATAATCATCTCATAATTATTATACATTAATCATTATAATATTCTTTAATTAATGCGGACTTTGACATGTATTGATAAGATGTCAATAAACCATTTTTAATTGTCAAATTGTCTATCGGACCATTCTCACTCCGCCAAAGCTGGGAAACAGCTTGGAAACGCCAAAAAACTGTGGATAACTTTACTTTCAAAGTCTTTATTTTAATGCGATTGGTTTAAACAGATATAAAAATGTCTAAAATAAACTTACTTCAATTAAAATCGACGTATTTCGATAAAAACTAAAAATATCTTTAGTAGAATTGTTAAAATATTTTTTAAACCCGAAAATATCCATTAAAAATAAAAATATTGTTATTAAGGTGTAAAATTCTGTTATTAAAGTGTAAAATGTTGTTATATTAAATTGTAAAATGTCTTTTAAAAGTGCAAAAAACGTGTATAATAATTCTTTTGTAAAATTTTGCCTTAGAAACAGCAAACTCAGCTATTTATGAATATTTAATAGGAATACCAGAGTTTTTAAAAATGGAAATCCAATAAGGATATATTTTAAAATATCTTACGATATATATTCACAGGGGCAGAAGATTTTTCACTAAAATTTCAATCTTCGATTCAGATCAATAAAGTAGAAAATAATATTTTCCTGAACATGGATGGGTCTGGTCCAAAATGGCAGCAGAATTTTAATATTAATATATTGATTAATATTTCGATAACACCGATTTGAATGGCTTAATATATAAAGCGATATATAATTTATTCATTTGTTGTCTCTTTTAATATAAAAAAATATTGATAATGTGTTATAATAGATTGGAAAACTGGATGAAAACAGGCTGATATTCAATAAAATCATCTGCTATATTTACATTGCCAACCCTTTGAAAGATCTGTGCTATATTGACAACACAGAATATTTAAATAATATTATATAATTAATCTCTAAAATATTGGGGAGAACATACGCCAATATTTTAAAATTATTTATAGAATGATAAATTATCTTCTGCATACACATAGGTATTGATTTATTTTATCAACACACAATAGTCACATTAGATTAAATATAGAGAAAGGAGTTTAAAATGGTATATGCCTATTAAATACTAGAATTTTAGCTTTTTAAAAGGATATTATCTGGCGTGGAATTGTCAAAAGAAAAGAATTGCGAGAATTAAAAAGAAATATATAAAAGGGTAAAACCTATTATTATATAAAATGTCTTTTGAAAAGATAAAACGATTTTAATTTTAAAAGGAAAATATATTAATTTATAATAAGAAAATAATAGAGAACACGGACACATTACTTATAAAATCATATATATATTTATACAAAGCAATAACGCGCCATCTATACATATAAAATAAAAGGATTTAAATATATTTATATTAGAATTATTTGTAAGAAGAAATTTTATAAAGTATACCACATTATGATTCACAGATTTTATATATTAAAAATAGTTTAATCATTAAAAAAAAAGTTAATTAATCTAAAAATAGTAAATATTTTAGGTTCATTTATTATAATTAATATAATATTTTATATTGTATGTATGTGTCCTCCATTTCATACTAGATTGACATTAATATTGGCTTTATAAATCACAACATTTTTTAAATCATCTTTCTTCAAGAGAGAAGGGACAAATGCCTTTCTTTCTCTAACTTAGCCTTTATTTAATTTTTGGAAAATTATTTTCTTAGTTCTGTCTTTGTTCTTTTCTACAAACCTATCTCTTCACTTATTCCTTTTTCTACCTAGCCTATGACGCGTAACGGCCGAAGCTATGCTGGAGTTTCCCCCTATTATATTCTATCTATTTGTTATACATATAAATATTATATATTATATATATATATATATATATATATATATATATATATATATATGAAAAAAACAATAGAAAAAATAAAAATATCAGGTGTTGATATTAAAAACAAAGTAGGCATATCCTGACCAGGAGCACAAGTGCTTTTCAGAAAGCAGAGCGCCATCTGGTGGAACAGAAATCAACTAAACATTGATTTAGCCTGTTCCCTGATATTTGGCCAACCCAATTTCTTGATAAATCAAGACTTGCAACACCTCAAAATATATACAGAGATTCTTTTCCCAAAAAGGTAGTTTTCCATAAACGAATCTATTTTTACGTTGCTGTACAAGTGGATAATACTTATTGAATGTTTGAACACAGGTAATGATGTTGGAGATATTTCATATCCTGATAACCAACTATATTACAGGCTGAGATCCCCTTAAGATAAAATTTAATGGGGAATTTGTGATTATGGGAAGCCCCTTTATGTTCCCAATAAATTTCTTTGGTAGAAGTAAATAGCCAATTTGTTAATAAGGTCTTGATGGGTTTTCTGGATTAGTTTTTTATAATTGAATCAGAGAGAAGGGGTTACGTTCTGTCCATTTACAGCAGCAAACATCGACTGTCACAGTGTATTGGGACATTTGGTGAGTAACATGGCAGTGGATACATTCAAAACAGTGAAAAGTAAGATTAGCAATTAAAACTGCGACACAATATTTAAAAATTTACCTTCGAAATAAAAAAAGTTATTATAGACTTGAGTTACCACTTGTTTGTACCTTCTGTAATTCAAAACTAAAAAATGAAATCACTCACTATATTTTTGATTGCTCTGCTCTGAAAGAAGAAAGAAGAACCCTTATGCTCAAAACTGGGCAACTCTGTGCTTCACTTCCATCAATAATTGACAATATGACCCAGAATAAGTATATTGCTACGGCGTTTTATGGTTTCCACAAGTCCGTATCTCAGAAGAAGGCCAAGTGATTCTCACTCCTCACTTTCTTACTGCTACTCTTTTTGTGTTGATTTCTTGCTTCCCTCTTTCTTCTTATTATTTTTTTTCCTTTTCTTGTTTTTTTTTCTTTCTCTTTTTACTCTGTATATATCGTTGTTTCCTTTGTCTCACTGCTTTGTTCTTATGCATGCCTCTGGTGAATCCTGTATAGGGTCAGTGACCCTAAATAAAGGCTTTTTGTTGTTGTTGTTGAGTTACCACTTGCTAAGATAATTATTTATTTAACATTCGGGAGAACCGCCATCGCAGTTTGATTGGACTGGATTCCCGTTTTAACCCTTTAAGCTAATTTTAGATTTTAAATAATTTTTATATCCGATATTTCGATGAACTATTCGTCCATCTTTTAATATGTAATATATAATATGACACTCATGGACAAAATTAAGGAAGTGGAAATCCTTTGATGTCGCCGGTCGTCTGTTTTTATTTTTTTTTTTTAAGGAGACAGGGACATATTTTTTCACACATGGTTATCTCGTATGTCTTCAATAAAGGTCACTGTAATATATTTCAGAGTTATTGTCTGAATCCAGATATACACATCTCTAAATATATTTACACAGAGAAATAAAATATAAATTTCTAAGAAAACTTCAAAAATTTGTAGCGACTATCAACAGTAGAGTTGTGTGACTCTATGTGCATAAATACTATTATATGAATGAATTATTTATAACATTTTTTTTTGTTTAAAAGAAACATTCGCGGTATAATTTCAATTTTCGTTTTACAATCATCAGCCGCGTTATATTGTATTTTAAATTACTTTATATAATATTTACGAACGGAAAGATATGTCCAGGGTAGCCTAGTGGACATGACATCTGCCCGGTAAGCGGAAGGTCGTGGGTTCGATTCCCGCCCCTGGACACTTTTATTTTTCCGTTCGCCATTACTCTTCATATTTTCACCCTTTCATACTTCATCCTTAAAGTTAGAAATAGTCGTTATTTCTCTTTAAAATAAATTTCGATTTTTGTTTAAAAGAAACATTCGCGGTATAATTGCAATTTTCGTTTTACAATCATCAGCCGCGTTATATTGTATTTTAAATTACTTTATATAATATTTACGAACGGAAAGATATGTCCAGGGTAGCCTAGTGGACATGACATCTGCCCGGTAAGCGGAAGGTCGTGGGTTCGATTCCCGCCCCTGGACACTTTTATTTTTCCGTTCGCCATTACTCTTCATATTTTCACCCTTTCATACTTCATCCTTAAAGTTAGAAATAGTCGTTATTTCTCTTTAAAATAAATTTCGATTTTTGTTTAAAAGAAACATTCGCGGTATAATTGCAATTTTCGTTTTACAATCATCAGCCGCGTTATATTGTATTTTAAATTACTTTATATTATATTTACGAACGGAAAGATATGTCCAGGGTAGCCTAGTGGACATGGCATCTGCCCGGTAAGCGGAAGGTCGTGGGTTCGATTCCCGCCCCTGGACACTTTTATTTTTACGTTCGCCATTACTCTTCATATTTTCACCCTTTCATACTTCATCCTTAAAGTTAGAAATAGTCGTTATTTCTCTTTAAAATAAATTTCGATTTTTGTTTAAAAGAAACATTCGCGGTATAATTGCAATTTTCGTTTTACAATCATCAGCCGCGTTATATTGTATTTTAAATTACTTTATATAATATTTACGAACGGAAAGATATGTCCAGGGTAGCCTAGTGGACATGGCATCTGCCCGGTAAGCGGAAGGTCGTGGGTTCGATTCCCGCCTCTGGACACTTTTATTTTTCCCTTTGCCATTACTCTTCATATTTTCACCCTTTCATACTTCATCCTTAAAGTTAGAAATAGTCGTTATTTCTCTTTAAAATAAATTTCGATTTTTGTTTAAAAGAAACATTCGCGGTATAATTGCAATTTTCGTTTAACAAATATATATATTAATATATATTTAGTTTTTTTTTTGTGTGTGAGATAAACCCCCAGGATATATAAAACTTATTTTAGTTCCAATTGTTGCAAAAACCAAATTAAAACACAGAGGAAAAGCTATCCATTTGATGGGAAACGAACAACACTTTGGCCGGAACACAGGGTGAAATTAAAATTTCCATTTATTCAACTAAGCCTAATTAAATTGGATCGATAATCTATTCCGTAATTTTTGCAGCCGATACCCTGGCTCTAATGGAGCGTGGCTACTTTGAAATAGGATCGCTGTGGCCTTGTGTATTTATAGAAATTTAGATAATGGAAGACATATATATTGTGTGGATCCAACATGGATTTGTTTATCAATATTTCGGTCGGCTGGACACCACAACCTTTGTCAATGTTTGAAACATTCCCCAAACCTGGTTGATAAAGGTTGGCGCTCAGTCAACCGAAATATTGGTAAATAGATTCATTTTTGATACAAAATACGCCTTTGTTATAATATGTTATAATTATATTATGATGCATTAGTGCGCCATCTGTTATCAAAATTCGAAACTATTATAAACGCGTATTTTTCTTTTTAAAAATAAACAATTTCTAATGCCCTTACTGCAATGGAAAATTATGCCCTCCCGTTAATTTTCCCATTGCAGTAAGCGCATTAGAAATTGCTTATTTTTAAAAAGAATCATACGTGTCTATAATACGTAGTATCGAATTTTAATATGTTATAGTAAAACAAAATCTGTCTTGTGAAGTTCTATTTGGTTCCTGACAAGATTGCACTGGGGTCGATTAGAATTATTTATAATAAAACTATTATTTTATGCAAATTTAAGGAGGTTAGTAATGAAGGATATTCAACACATGGAAATTCAACCTAGTTTATTGTACGATGTAAAACATTCAAGCCAAATATCTTCTTAAAGGTTTCCAGAACTACACGTTATACATTTATACCTTAAATACACAAATATACAATTCAATAAATAAAGTAAAAAAGTTTTAAACAAAACTCGTTTATTTTTAAAAAATTGTTACAAGATTTATATAATCGAATTCAGTTTCACCCATTTGCAATAAAGTTATTTTGTGCCCCCCTTTTTTATGACGCTCTTTTTCTGTCTTGACATTCCACACATTAAATATGATCTTAAGAATAATAAAAAAAAAGATAATCAATGATACACTAGGAAGCTATTTAAATACCATTTCATGAAAAAATGCTATTTTTTAATCCACTTATTTTCTAGTTTCGATATATTCTAGTAATTGGTCATTTACATAACAATGTTTTTGTTAAGTATGCAAATTTTCTGAAAATTTGCCAGTGTTTATAGGTGATTTCTCTGTGTAGCCACTGTATATAAGCCCTCCATTTTATATTTGAAGCATTGAAGAGCTTATTTACACTGGCTACACAAAATATTGCATCACTTATAAACCCTTTGTATACGAGGTGTGTTCAAAAAGTATCGCGACTTTTGAATTTTCGCGGGTTATGTATATTCGAATTTCGATCTTTTTGTGGCTTTATGTTGGTACTCATGTCTCTCACTTATGCCGACAAGCTCGGCCATTTTGAATGTTCACTTAATTGTTGACAGCTGCTTTGCTTGCAGGTGTTTTGGATCGATTTCGATTTTTACCTATTAAAAAAATGGATCAAAGAACCTGTATCAAATTTTGTGTGAAAAACGAAATTAAGTGCGCGGATGCATTCCGAATGTTGACTGTGGCATACGGAGAAGCTACCTTGGACCGAAGCAACGTTTATAGGTGGTACAAAATGTTCTCAGAAGGCCGAGAAGATGTGAACGACGAAGAGCGTGCCGGACGCCCGAGCACTTCAACAACAGACGAAAAAATTGATGAAGTGGAGAAAATGATATTGGCCAATCGTCGAATCACCGTTAGAGAAGTTGCTGAGGACCTAAACATATCGATTGGCTCGTGCCATTCGATTTTTATCAATGATTTGGGAATGAGACGGGTCGCCGCGAAATTCGTACCAAAATTGCTCAATTGCGACCAATAACAGCATCGCATGAGCATTGCTAATGAGATGTTGGACTCTGCCCGCGACGACCCAAATTTTCTCCAGAGGGTCATAACTGGTGACGAAGCGTGGGTTTATGGTTATGACGTGGAAACCAAAGCTCAATCATCTCAATGGAAGCTGCCGCACGAACCAAGTCCGAAAAAAGCGCGCCAAGTTCGGTCGAATGTGAAAGTTTTGCTGACAGTTTTCTTCGATTGCAGGGGCGTGGTGCATCATGAGTTCTTGCCACAGGGTAGAACGGTCAATAAGGAATATTACCTGCAAGTTATGCGCAATTTGCGCGAAGCAATCCGCCAGAAACGCCCGGATTTGTGGAAGAACAAAAATTGGCTTTTGCACCACGATACCGCCCCTGCTCACACATCGTTGCTTGTGCGCGACCTTTTGGCCAAAATTAACACACTAATGATGCCGCAGCCACCGTATTCCCCAGATCTGGCCCCCTGTGACTTTTTATTGTTCCCTAAACTGAAGAGGCCCATGAAAGGACGACGTTACGCTACGCTTGACGAGATAAAGACGGCATAGAAGGAGGAGCTGAAAAAGATTTAAAAAAAAAATGATTTTTTGAAGTGCTTCGAAGATTGGAAAAACCGTTGGCACAAGTGTATAATATCTCATGGGGATTACTTTGAAGGAGACAAAATAGGTATTCATGAATAAATAAATATTTTTGAAAAAACACAAAAGTCGCGATTCCTTTTGAACACACCTCGTATATATTCTCTTGCAGTTTATTTTCAGTTATTAACATTTATTTCTTTGCCACTTTCCCCACATATTGTTCGAAAATCCATTCCAATTCTTTAACAAAAAATTCTAAACATTCATTTGAGCCGTTACAACTTTGCATATTCAATATTTTGAAAATATTCGTGCTTTCCTCTGTAGCATTAACCTCGTTATTATAATTTTCTTCTTTGAGCAATCTTGGAAGTAGTCTGACGTGTGAGTTGGTTTATTTCTTCAAATTCCGAAGGCTTATTAGTTCTCTATCGGCAAGCACATTTTATATGAGATCACTAATTTATTCTTTTTAAAAATATATTGTAATGCATTAGCGCGCCATCTGTTATGAAAATTCGAAACTATTGTAGACGCGTATGATTCTTTTAAAAATTAAGCAATATCTACCGCCCTTACAGCAATGGAAAAATTAATGGGAGGGCCTGGCTCATCAGTGGTGAACCCTCCCAGCGTTTTCCCAGTTTAATCTACCATACCGCTCTTATATTGCATTTTTCGATTTTACTTTTACTGATGCTAGACTCTTGGAATGGGTATTTTAGATGAACTATGGACATAAGCTTTGAGATCAGCAGAATTATATACAATTATAAATATATAATAGGCTTCGAGCAATCGCTCTTCCGATGAATAAAATATCTTGTACTGGGGTAAAAGAACAATTAGAGAATATCGTTAAACTTTGTACAGAGAGAGAAAGACTATTTATTGACATCAGGTCAATCACAAAGGTGCCCAGTTCACACAATTAATGTAGCTAGTTATATGGGGAAATTGACAGAATGACGTGAAAATGAAATACTGGAGACAGTGGTTATGGCAATTCTGACAGTTGCAGAGTTATCAGGAAGATGGTCTCCTGTCGGCCAATGAGGTCCATCGTGACGAGAGACGTAGCCCAATTATATTTTCCAGAACTTCCATTTATTCTTTCAAATTTAAAACAAAGTTTCCCATTTTCAGAATAAGTCCCCCGACGAATGTGTTGTGAAAGCTTCACGCCGGTAGCTCGGATATTGGGGAAACGGCCTGTAAATCAGTCAGCAATCGGGTAAATTTGCATTTTATAAGATGGCCGTTATATAGCAGCGAGGCCTTCCAGACCAAATCGTGTCAAAATACAATCAGGATAGAGGTCAAATATTGTGGAAACGGATGTGGAGCAAGCCGCACACAAACTTTGTTTCTAGATACAATAGGGATAGCTCAAAACGGAAATAATTTTGAACAAACCTATAATGAAAATTTGGAAACGAGAGAATGAAAAATACCTTAAACGTGACTGAAAAATATAATTTAGAGGACATCAAGCTTTTCGCCAAGAAGTCAAATTAAAAAACATATCGGTGTAGAGTTTTATATTGAATATAAAAAGTAAAATTTGTGGCTCATTCTCTATCTCCACTAGTAAAGTTTGTTACCAGGGTGATTGTTCTGTTGTATAATTG